GTTTTTTTTCTCAACGCAAGCACCTAAGCAATGACGTCCATTTGTGTCACAACCGCATAGAAACAGAGTCGAACTAGCAGAGCACTCAGCGTGTGGTACACGCTTGCCACTGAGCGACAGCGCTCACTGATAACGTATAACACAAATGCTTGACATGCACTTTTATACAAACCATTCAGTATATAATTTAACAACCTTATATAGTATTGGTACCGGGCTTCATAGCATTTGGGTGTTTTCTAACCAGAAAGCCAACTCGCGAATATAAGAACACAAAGAGAGTACAAACGAACGCAAAGGTTATCGGTTTAAATCGCCAAGAGACCTGAATATCGATACTCTATTCGCGTGAACACAGCTTCTTTCGGGCAAATGGCGACGCCCACAATAATGACGGCACACTAGAAAAGTGGCCAAGGCTTTTTAATTAGTTACGATAATTTAGCTTGTAACACCATCACAGCGTTTGCGTTGGCGTGAAACTCGTGTTGACGTAAACGGAGAAGAGACTCGAAACGTAAACATCGGAGTACAGGCTCACTACACCAAAGTCCGTTTGTCATTCTTTTTTCTTTATTTCTCATTACTCAATGCTCCCTTCTAACTTGTACTTTTTCTCCATGAACGGAATCGGACCGTCATCCACGTGTACGGCAGGGTAACACTTCAATTGCTGGAGGCGACTACGAAACAACTATAGGAAACAATGCACGACTGCTACGTGAAATGATGAGTCACCCCGATAAAGTGATCCGATTGACATGCTACAAAACACTAGCAGTGTATTAGCACGGCCATGCCAGGATATACGTAGCGTGAGCTACGGACTCACGGACAGGAAAACAGACACCGACAGGTGGACGGACGGAAGGACAAACGGACGGCTGGATGGACGGACAGATAGATGGACGGACGGACGGACTAACCAGTGAGCTCGCGCGAGTCAAGCACCAGCCCTTTATTGACACGTCACACCAAGAGCTGTGCGTCGTGTGACGTCACTGCTCCTCGCGCGTGCGCAGCACGCCTCTCGGTCAGCCACGCAAAACTGCTCAAACTCGGTCAGCGTAGCTTACGCTACAGAACGGTTTATCACCGTCAAGCCTATCGAGAGGGCGTCAATTGTTGCATAACGGCGCATACAAACGCCCATTCGCCCGGCGCACTTTCGAGGGCTAGATTTGTGTACGCTCGCCGGTGGCATGTTTTTAGCGTACGACGACGTTGTCACCGAAATCTAAGAGCTTAAAAGCTGCGCACAATACGCCAAAAGTTCGTTTTGCAAGAGCAATGATTAAGCGGCCAAACTTCTTCCACACACAAAAACGAACTGAAAAGCTTCACCGCAAAGCGAATCTCAATGTGGCGGTGCACCCTTTACAGGATTAAACTGGACGCGGCGAAATGGAACGATGCTTGCATTCCGCGGTGCGGAGCTTACACACGGGAAACTAACAGTGTGCTGTGCTGACAACGGAGTTATCAATTTAGATGCAGTAGCGCTGACGTTTACTGTTTGAGCTTGCCTGAAGCGAGCTCTGACAGGATTATGCAGCTGATATGGCAGTCGGACTTCGTATCAAGTCTCGAAAAATTGTTTTCATCGGGATGTTTAGATTTTGTGTACTTTTGGTGCTTTTTGTTTGAAGAGAAAGCTGTTCTAAAATAATATGCCCGAGAAACGATCATAGTGCTGATCTACGATGTCTTGTTGTGGGGCTCTCAAGGACGTTCTCCCACGTAACAGCACGAGACCTGATGAGGACTTGCGTGATGAGGTGGTGAAAGCAGTTAGAAGCGCATTCTTTTACAGCGAGCCTGTCTAAGTCTACCATGTGTTGCTGTCGTCGTCGTCGTCGTCGTCGTCGTCGTCGTCGTCGTAGTAGTAGTAGTAGTAGTAGTAGTAGTAGTAGTAGTAGTAGTAGTAGTAGTAGTAGTACGCACTACACGGGCCACGTGACGAGGCGAGGAATGAATAAAACAAAATGATATTATTATTATTATTATTATTATTATTATTATTATTATTATTATTATTATTATTATTATTATTATTATTATTATTATGCACGTGATATGACACGCTTGCAGCTTCGCTGTGCGCCGGTTTTTGGCTGTAGACCTCGCTGAATTTTATTTCATTACAATTAACAGCGCGAAATAAACGAGAGTCCACTTGACTAACATCTTTTCACACTGTTTATAATTAGCATTCCTACAATTTTACCCAGCTAACAACTCTAGCGAATTTTATTTTATTTTGTTCGGCGATACAGGTTATGCCAGTCTATTAAGTAGAAGGCAAAAAAAATTGGGTGAATTCTATCGGATCTATTTCGCAAGTGACAGACCACACCATTTCAAGATAACGCTTGTGCAAGGTTCGCACACAGGGCCAATTCGCTCTCTCGTGCCACAGACCAAGAGCGTGACGTGGCTAAAGTGCAGGCAGCTGTGGCATGTCATTCTCGCAGGCGAAGTCAATCACACGCGCAGAGAGCGGTCGTTCCGTAGGCTCATATCTGGTACCATTGCTGCCGCATTGTACAGCGCTATCTCTGCGCAATACCACCACGTAGTCGTAAGACTGGTGCCGAACTTACTACCTCGGAACAAAGTTGTACAGGACTGACACCACTGATACTCGTAATGAGAGGAGCGTTTTCGCGCTTTTTTCTTTTGTTTCTTTGTTCCTACCCACAGCGAGCGTTTCCAGTCGCAGTCGGTGTGATGCTGCATCTTGTTGTTAGCGTCGCAGGCAGTGTCGTTTGAGACGCTGCCTGCGACGCTAACAACAAACGACGCATACGCCATCTCCACGGCAGGCTCGCTCATGAAGGCGTTCATGTTCGGCGACTTCAACTTGAATCTGAAACTCGCTCCAACATTTTTTTTTTCTTCTCGGGAGTGAAAACTCGCTCACTCGAAGACAATTCGCCGAAGAGTTACTCAGCTTACCCTCTCCACACGCCACTTTCGCGATTCCGGAAAGTTCGGCGTCTACGTAATCTGAAAGCTCAAGTCACGTTCTCCGAAGCTTGCCCCGATAGCACCGAAATAAATGTCTACACTCCAAAATGCTCAGCGAAAATTCGCTCTCAAGAACGTAACGCCTAGCACCACGCCGAACTTGTAGTCTTCCGGGGCAAAAATAAAAAAAAACAAAATACGCTACAGGCTGCCTGTCTTCTACACTATAAGCAGACACTTTCGCGTGCGAGAAAAAAAAATAGACGAGTGGAGTTTGTTCTTCTCAGGAGAGTTCACATCTGGCGAAAAACGGCGGACGAGCGCAGCGATTTCTCTGAAAATGCGCTCCACGAGCTCGGCTCGCCCAGAAAACTCGAGTAGTACAATCGCCCCGAGAAACGGATAGGAGGTGGAAGAATAGGCGCAATAAAAATAGAGAAGAGAAGATAGGGAAGAGAACTATATATCTACAATATATGTATGTATGTCGAGGCCAACATACTCGAGAAAGCTCTTCCTTCGTTCTTAAGAACAATTCTCTATCCAGTGTCCTCTTCTTCTTAGTCTTCCGAGAACAAGTCCTTGTTCCTCCTATGTAGGGAACACTCTATAAGGGCGGCGGTGCCGCCTTAAGTGTTATAGAGACGGAATTCTCAAGTGCTGTCAAAACAAGGCCGGTTCACGGGATCGAAAAAAAAAAGGCATTGACGTAGTCCTACACATCAGTGCACAGCAGCCGCGCGGGATATGGGGGGGGGGGGGGGGGCAAACACACGAAAAACGGCGGGCGAGAAATCTCCATTAGCGAGAGCGAGCAACCCCGGGATCGAAGAGGAATTGAAAATAATTGCGCCAAGCGTCGGTCCGATTCGAGCCTATCAATCTTCATCCGGGTCGGTTCTCGGCCACGACGACGACGGTATGGGACAAAGATTGGTAGAAGGGCGCGCGCCAGCTCTCTCGATCGGGGTGCTGCCGGCTTTGCCCGGAAGAGAGCTTCAGTTTCGCGCGCCGGGGACTTATCGTTTTCTCGTTGAAGATGATGTGCCGACGACGTATAGAGAAGAGCAACGGTGGACAACCCGTACGCGGAAACCTTTAACCTCAAAGATAGAAAGGAGAGAGAGAGAGATAGAGAGCGAGAGAGGAGAGAGAGATAGAGAGGAGAGAGAGAGAGAGAGAGAGAGAGGAGAGAGAGAGAGAGAGAGAGAGAGAGAGAGAGAGAGAGAGACGACGCTTCGAAAGTGTTTTGCGCGGTGTATCGATTCTGGGTTTGAACCGAAAGAACGAGAATAACGGCGGCGTGGCAGTAAAGCACTTCAGGGTGAAAATTGAAATGGACAATTCAGACTTTTTTTTCCCCTCGCGATGTCTGCGCAGAAAGAACAAGCTGTCCTTCATCCAAATAACTTTGTTAAAGACACGCTCAGCGTGCTGGGAAAATGTCGCGGTGAACGTCAGAATACAATAGCCTAGCTATTCTGGTAAATAGATGTAGGTTGTTCCAATTCTTAGACAGCACGTATACAGTCTACGCAGATCTGCTTAGAAGACAGCACCGAGCCCATGCTGTCCGAGTGTTGGAACACGTCTGGACGACTTTAACGCCACGATGCGCCACCTCGCGCCTGGAAAAAGAAAGCCAAAGTAAACAAGCGTAACAGTTGTATTTTCTGGCTTATTTCATGTTAAAATCTAAAAACATTAAACGTTACTCAGATTGAGCGTCTGGAGAAGCGTCAGCTCGTGTGCTGACGACCATTCCGACGAGATCCGATCTATATGAGCGATTCGCTGAGCCCCCATCGTGTTTAGACAGGCGAGTAGCCTGCATCGTATTTGTCCTACGATGCGGTCTTCTCGAAGCTGTCTATGTTGCCGGCTACGTGAGAATTGGAATGAGACTCAAGATGGCCGCCGTCCATGTAGCTGTCTATTTAATTGGAACACACCCATAGTTGAATTCGAATGTGTCTAGTGGAAACTCGACCGTTGAAGTCACTGGAATGAATCACGCCTCCCTGGCGCAGGTGCAGCGGCGGCGCCCGAACAAAGGATCCGATCTACCCGGGGTCGCCGCACTGCGTAGGAACAAGCAAGGAACCAAAGGGGGGTCCATGTCCTCGCGGCTCCTGGCGTGCTGGTTGGCCCTGGCGGTGGCGCTGACGCTGCTGCTGTCCGAGGCGCAGGGCGCCAAAGGCCGCGGAGGCAAGCGCGGCCGCGGCCGCATGCGGTCCTCCGGCTCGGCCAGGTACATCTTCTACACGCACCCGAAGAGGAAGGAGTACTACGACAACCCCAACGTGAGTGGCGTCTCCGAAGACGTAACCCTTCTTCCCTTCCCTGAGGTGGACATGGCATATGGGTCACGGACTAATCTGTCCGATATAGACGGCGCCATAACGAATCCTATACCACCCGTGCAAGAGACATCACGTGTTACCACATCTTGAGCAAGCATTCTGCCGCCAGCCACAGAAGAAACGCAGAGAGGTTAACCAGGTCAGCAATCCGGCTGACTATTACGTATACACACTGCAGAAAACGTTAAGTGCACAAAACACGAAGATAAAACCAGAGACAATTCATACCGTCTTCAGTTTTTCAATTTTAAAGCTTCTCTTTCTTTAAAAGCAAATCAGCGTTCTAAGAGTAGTTCAGAGAGCGGATGGCCGGAACTAACGTCCATAAGGGTTTCGGCCGTAACGGTGGACTATAGCATTGTTATTTATTATGGTTCCAACGATTATATCCATTTATGTACACCGCGTTTCATTCGTTTATTGTTTAATCAATTCGATAATCGTCTCTTGCTTATCCCTGCAGCTCGCCACTTGACGTCGTACCACCATACCTTAAGGCCGCGTAGTTTCTGGAAGGTGGCCCTTCCTTGAAGCTATGGATGATTTTATATAGTGACGTTCTATAACGGCGCACTCAGTACCACCCGGATCATTCTGACACGGACAGTAGTCTCAACAGGTTGCGAATAAAGTGATCGAAAAATATCGAACGCCTGAACGATCACCATCAGCCTAGAGAGAGGGAGGGTGGAGTGTAATACACCTTATCCAGTTTGCTGGATACAGAACGAGGGTGCAGACGATCTACAATACTCGCGCACAGTGCAGCGTAGCTACTATAGCGAATCTGCCTTCAAGAACTCTAGATGGGGCCCCGCCGCGGTGGTCTAGTGGCGGTGGTCTAGTGACCCGCAGGTCGCGGGATCGAATCCCGGCTGCGGCGGCTGCATTTCCGATGGAGCCGGAAATGTTGTAGGCCTTTGTGCTCAGATTTGAGTGCACGTTAAAGAACCCCAGGTGGTCGAAATTTCCGGAGCCCTCCACTACGGCGTCTCTCATAATCATATGGTGGTTTTGGGACGTTAAACCCCACATATCAATCAATCAAGATCTCTAGATAGGGTGGTGGCTTTTCTAGGCTTATGACCTGCGAGACCATCTACGACATGAGGTAGAATGAGAATTTCCGAGACCTTCCGACAGTGGTGAAATAATGTTAGCACCTGTTTGTCGATTCCCCATATTCGTTAGCCGGCACTTCCGCCAATAATGTTAAATGTCCGCGTATTGCCACGGTAATAGTATAACGCGGGAGAAAAAAAATACGGTAAAAATAATAAATAAACGGGAAACCATTCCGAATAAGGCGTCGCAATTGCGTGGTTGTGCTCGACGTAATTGACGAATTGCCCCGCTTAACTAGAACATTAATGAGCGTCCACTATCCGTTAATGTAAAAAAAATATATATCCAACGAAGTATCTCGCACCTTTTGCAGTTTTCGCGTTTCAATCCCCCCAATCGCGCTCGAACGGTGTTGGCGCTCGCGTTTCGTTTGTTCGCTACTGGTCAATTATCTCTTCTCGGTCTTCGTACGTTCACTTATTGCTGTTATACGGCTTGGAGCTTTGCGCGCAAGGTGGATAAAGCAGTAAACAACCCAGCAGAAATCTTTCCTCCGTGTAAGTCCAATTAGGTACGGTGAGCGGACACGACACGTATGTGCGTTCTTGCCTTCTCTCACTTCATCTAATCATAAAGAAAACATGCTTTCTACAACTCTCGATTCACCTCCTCTTCCTTAAAGATATATATATATATATATATATATATATATATATATATATATATATATATATATATATATATATATTGATATCTAACAAACAATAATGCCAAGAAAAGTATAGGGGAGGTTATTCAACCACATTGTAAGGTAATTGTGAAGAAAGAAAAGTGGGTGAAAAGATAACTTGCCGTGGGCAGGAACCGAACCTGCGACCTTCGAATAAAACACGGAAACACGAGCCCTTATGTATACACTTCTTATATATATATATATATATATATATATATATATATATATATATATATATATATATATATATATATATATACAATCTCATTGCAAATCTCGTGCAGCATGCCGACATTATGGTTGGCTCGTTCGTACGGTACACAAGCTTTGTTCCTTCTCGAATTGCGATGATGAAACGTCACGCGGTACCTTATGCATTTGCATGAATCGAAGGCGATAGGTCATCATCGTTTTCTTGATTGTATTGATCGTTTGTATTGATTTCTGCACTTCACGGGCTTCTGTGGTGCCTCCGAGATCGGAGGCAGCGCAGTGCCATGTGCCAATATCGTGTCAAGACGTCGCCGTGTAACATCACGTTAAATCAGGGCACAAGTTTCGGCGATCGAGTGATTTCCTTGCATCCCCGAGGACGGCCACCTATCGCGTTTGATGAGGCATCTGAGGTTTTCGTCCTAAATATTGTTCGGCGCCTCAGCAGCTTTCGCTCCGATTCACAAACGTAACCGCCACGAAGACGACAGAAACAGGCACGCTCCACAAATAGGCGCGCTGGCCCGGGGTAGCGATTGCACGCTCCTATAACGCCTCGGTGCCTGCCAAAAAAAATAAAGAAATAAAGACGTGAAAGTCTGTTCAAAGCGCGAACGGTCGCTGGTCAGCAAAGGCCGACGGACGTTTCTGACAGATCCGTCGCGAGGGATTCTTATTAAAGCGTCGAAAGGCGTACAGTTCAGAAAGTTACGTCATCTACCACGCCCCCTTCTCCTCTACCGTTCTTGGTCATCTCAGAAACATAGAGAGAACAAATAAAGACACAGAGGAGAAAAAAAATGAGGTCTATGCGTTCAGCGAGGAGAGGCAATGATCAGTACAGACTACACACACACACACATATATATATATATATATATATATATATATCTATATATATATATATATATATATATATATATATATATATATATATATATATATATTACGACCACCGTTCCCGTTTCGCTGAGGCTGATAAAAAGGGGAGTATAAGCGTAATGAAGGAAATCTGGGACGGAGAAATAATGGCTTAATAGGGTCATCGCCCTCCCACTCCACTCCTCTTCCCTCCACTCCTCCTCAACCACTCTCCCGACAACACGCCGCCCCTTTTACGGGAGAGCGCAAATAAAATGTCTTACTCGCCGCAAAGTACACCCACACGCCAAAAGCGAAATTCCGGTCAACGAAAAAAAAAAAACGATGGCAGAGAACCAAGAAATTCATGAAACCAACACGCGCGAATGCATTCAAGCAAACAAAAAGAAAAAAATAAAGCGGGAAACCGAGTGCTTCAACGTTTTACTAACGGGCGCAATAACAATCGTAAAACAGCGCGCAAGCTTCGCACGAAAATGGCTGAAATTACGACGTCGCCCGTCTCCCACTTGCTTTCTATCTTCATTTCTCTCTCTGTCTTCTTTCTTGCTTTCTTTTTTTTTCCTCAGCTGCCTTCGGCGTGTCAGGCCGTCCGCTCTGATACCCCCCGGCATAGGTCCGCTGTCATCGCGACCGTTCAGTTCCCCCGGAGAGTCCGGCTCTCCAAACAGCCACCTCACTCGCCACTCTGAGCACGAATAATAAAGGGGGGAGGAGGAGGAGAAGCGAAGACAAAAGGGGAAAAATAACAGTAGAAGAAGACACAACAGAAACCGAAACTACCACAAAACGATATACAAGAGAGAGGAGGAAGGAGCAAAAACGAACTGTCTCATTAGGGAACCGTAGTATACGCGTAGCAGAGAGAAAACGGGACCTTTACGGCAGGAGTGCGGCATCGATGAAACGACGGGATAGAAAGGGAAGTGGGGATCAAAAGAGAAAAAAAAGATCAAAGCAAGAGAAACGCTTACGCATCGTCAAGCGATCACAATAAAACCGGAAGTCGAGCAAAGCGAGATAAATAAAGAAATAAGAAATTAAAGAAAAAAAGCAAAAAAGGTGAGACAGTGAAAGACACTAAGTATACGGTCATTCACGTAAAACACTACGCCCAGATGTCGCACCTCCGGCAGGAACCATCTTTCATGGAAGCGGGAAGAGAAGTGCTCCCCAAGTTCCCCCCCTTTTCTTTCGTTATTTTTATCCCTAGAAGCCCTCCATCCTCTCCTTTCGTTCGAGGGGCAATCGAGCCGAAAGCAGGTACACGCCACTGGCGTACCGACAAAGCAGGGAATCTATACAGGGAGGGCCGGCATAAAAACAGGAACACCGTCGTGTGTGGAAGGAAACTACAGGGAAAAGAAGAAAACAATAGGGAGAGAGAGAGAAACTCTTTTGTTACGCAGCGGGACCCAGAGGCGACGAACGAACTAGTGAGTGACGCGCCGAGAACTCGGCCGGATCCACTAAATACGGGCCCTGATCACCGCTGGGCCAGCCGGGGCGCCGAGATTGGCCCCCACCTATTTTTCCTGCTCGTACCCAGGGGTGCAATGGTATATCGCCGCTTTCCGCGCCGCCTTCTCCAATGACCCGGGCACTGCGCGGCTCGTCGTACGGACCCTCGGCTGTATGCACGTTAGTCGTCCGTTGGCCGACGCAATATCTGCACCCGACGGACCGATCAACCTCCGGCTTCATCTCACCTCTCGCCGTCTCACGCACTCCCGGCTCGAGTGCTTCTGGCTGCGCTATTGTTCCGCAGGCCTATACACATATATATGCTGTGGAACCCCATGGGTCATCACGAACAACTTGGGAGGCAACTATACTCCATTCATATCGTCACCCCTCTCTGTCTCTCTGGTGAGAGAAGGTCAACTGCGGTAGATTCGTCTCAATAGTAAAATAAATGATTACGGAACGTATAGACCGAACGTCAGTATACATTATGTGGCATGAATTGGACTTGCATGTCGAAATGCGCCTGCGCTCTTACTTGTGTTATATCATCGTCTTGTGTTGTTCATTACACCATAGAGGC